GGATATAGCTAATGTTCCCTGGTAGGTCTAGGTACTTGACCGCTGGAAAACGTGTCTTATATGTCACCTTCTATCCAGGCTGAACTATGTTATAGGCTAGTGAGCATCCTATAGTGTGTATTTATATATCTATGGACTATTGTAGATATTGCCGAGCTATCTAGGATGTATCTGCGTATCGGGTTTATGTACGGATGGTAGTAGGATGGAACTTGCATGTGGGCCTGACCCACCTTTATTTTTCAGGTGTTTGCGAGTACCAGGCTTAGGGTTTGATCGTGGTGATGCAGATACAGTCACTCACTCTTCCGACTACATAGGATTTTCTTTCTTATTTTGGTTTTGGATTTTATTTCTGTAAATGTTTTACCAGTTGGAATTATTAGGGGTCCACTAGATGGATTCCCGAGTTGTACAGATTTGAAGGATTTAAATGTTATTAATTTATTATTTTAAGTTGAGGATTTGTGTTTTTGAATTCTTTCAGCGTTTTGTTATTTTATTCTTAATTCAAATTTTATTCCTACTTGTTTACATATTAATTGTCTGATATCCCTCGGATCTGTGCTCGGACTTGATCACCCGTGGCTCTAGAATCAAGGGGTATCACATAAAGTCAGCTCATTGCAGCATACTTATTTAAAAAATCACAAACAGGATCTCACACTGGTCTTCAAGGTTTCTCTCCTATGCAGGCAGGCTCCAACTCATTAAATCTGTATTGGTCTTAACACAAGTTTATTGGGCAAGTATTTTCATTCTTCCCAAAGCTGTGATCAATGAACTCAACAAAATTTTCAGGTCTTTCTTTTGGTCAGGTCCTGAAATGAAATCCACAGGTGCAAAACTTACATGGAGTAAAGTTTGTTTACCTAAGGAGGAAGGAGGTCTTGGCATTCCAAACTTGGAACTTTCAAACAAAGCTGGTATCCTAAGGTATATCCGGGATCTTCACTCAAACAACCATGACATAATCTGGATCACTTGGTGTAGGGTTCATCTCATCAAGTCAAGAAATTTTTGGACAATCAACCTCCCTCATCCTTGCTCTTGGAGCTAGAGGAAGATTTTGCAGCACAGGCACATTGCTAGACAGCTTCTCAAACACAAGATTGGCAATGGATCTGAGACCTCATTTTGGTTTGATAACTGGTCTTCAGGTGGAGCACTCTGCAATCGTTTTCCACTATCAGTCCTTACAGATGCAGGTTTCAATGAAACAATCACAGTCGATACTTTCATTCAAAACTCATCTTGGTAATTTCCTTCAAGCCTCTCTTCTGCCATTCCTGAGTTATTACTTCAGCCCTCGCCATGTTCTTCAAGAAGTGTTATTAAAATTTGGTTGGCATCTCCAAATGGGAAGTTCAGTTTCAAGCACACATCATTGTTCCTCACAGAGCACTCGCAAATAGTACATTGGCATAACCTAGTTTGGAATTCCCCCACAATCCCTAGGATGAAATTCACCTTATGGTTAGCTGTGCAATCCAGGTTACCCATTCTTGATAGCAGATCAATGTCCAACCACATCAACCTTTGTGCTCTTTGTCAATCTCACTCGGAATCACACCAGCATTTGTTCCTCACATGTAGCTTTGTGTCTCCTATTTGGCGTTTCATCAAAATCAGGTGTAATTTCTTCACTGCAATCACTAACTGGGAGGATCTTATTCAATTGATCTCTACGCATGGAAAAGGAACTCCCAATCAAATCTTCATCGCAAATTATGCCTCTCATCCATGGTTTATCACACCTGGAAGGAAAGAAATGAAAGAATTTTCAGGGGTAAGAGTTCATCTCAAAGATTGGTGCTAGCTCGAATCTCAACAACTATTATTGCAACTCTCAAGCTAGGTTTCTTACAAGACTGTGATGCTTCGAGGAAGATACTCTCAGATTGGAATCTCTCCCATGCTTGCCTCCTCCAAGGCCGCTGGATTGACTATCTCTCCGATGATCATCATCTTCTCTAGGGCTTCTTACCGGATTGTTCCCTAATACCCTCAATTAACAGCCAAACAAGCCGTTAATTGTGGTTATTAGTTGATGCTAGGCCTCTCCCTTGTTGGGCCATTTTTTTGGCTTTTGTTCTCTTCTTTTGGTTGGGCCAGAAAGCCCTCTCTTGTAATTATTTCACTTTATTAATAAATTTGCTTAAATTTCCAAAAAAAAAAAAAAAATATATATATATAAGAGCATCTTAAGCATTGTGTTAAAAGGTCATTTTGTGTAAAATATACACAATGTGTAAATTTTACCACAATAATAGGGATATATACAATTACAAGTAGCAATCAAATATTACAGTTCTAATAAGTCAAAACTTTATAATTTCAAATGACAGGATGCCACTCATGTAATCAAATCACAAATGTACAAATAATTTATAGTTACAAAATCAGAATAGCAATAGATAAAGACAATAACTTGTTTTTGGAATAAATTCAATCATCTTATGTGATTTTCTTATTTATTACTTTTCTAATTTTGTAATTATAAACTATTTGTATATTTGTGATTGGACCACATCAGCAGTGAGTAAGAATAATCTTCTTGAAACATCTAGTTTTGCTTTAATCCGACATTGGAGTTAAAAGTTATAGTCCAAATAGCAAAACATATTTTCTAATACTATTCATTTCAAAATATCAGCTAATTAAAATACCTATTTTACTCCTCATCTATTACTCCATGGGCTTATGTTTGACATGTTTCTCTGTGCAGGAGACTAAAGAGATCTGGCAGGGGCATTGCTGTATCATGTTTTCGGAATTTTGGGGTGTATGGCGCTAACAATTTAATTTTTTGGATCTTTTCTTTTCCAGAGAGGCAGTAGACATTTGAATTTGACTGAAATCTGCATCACAATTTTCATTTGGATCCCAAATGCAGTCTGCTGATTTTCTTGTATGACCATTGTATCTCTGGGCAAACTATACATGTACCAGTGTTGTTGTAATGAAGTGTATAAATGATGACAAAAGAGAAGAGTAATAATTTAGTATCTTTGGGCGACTTGTAAATTACCCACAGACAATAATTTTTTAATGGGAATCTTAACATGTGCAGCTCTTGTCGACTATGCAGACAACCTCCAAAAATGTACAGTGTTCAATTTATAACGACTGAGACAAGTCATTTCATTAATAGATACTTGCTTGTTACATTTTTACATATAGATTGTCCAAAAATGTACAGTTGTTCTATCATAAATGCAAACATACTTTATGAGAACGTAATTACCCTGAGTTACTTACCAAAAAAAAAAAAAAATCATTGTAATTACCATGATTTATATTTCTTGTGTTTTTAAGTCTACGTGACTTAAATTCTGTGACTTTTGCGCTACACTCATTGTCATTGTGGCTTTACATGACTTTGGATTAGAAAATGTCAATTGGTCAGATCACGCGATATTTGCCAATGGTCTGAAAAACGTGATAAATCTGTTGCGGGGGTTGGACCGTGGCATATGGGCTTGTATTTGTATTCTTGTCAATCGGGCACGTTTATTCACATGCTGAACGTGGTGGAGTCACAAGCACGAATAAATATGACCAACCACAATTCAGCGGATGACAGTTGGGCGGATTTGGGCCGAATTTAGACCGGTCATCAATGGAGAGACTGTAATAGATCATTAATTCATTATCAATCCATTTATAATAGATTATAAATGAATTGAGTGTTAAATGAACTTAGTCAAACCCATACCCAATTTTATTAAATATTTTTAATTTTTGAATACCCCAAGATAAAAATATATTAATTTTTTGGTCTAGGAGTTACAATTTTTTTTTTTTTGAAAAGGAGATACAACTTATTACTCTGCTAATATAATTAATAATACATATAAAGGAATTTTAACGGTTACAAACATGGTTTTAATTTCAAATTTTTTTACCTAATAAAATAGAAATTAAGGTTTACAGTGAAAAAAATAATAATAATAAAATAGAAGTTGAGGTAACATTGTGATAGATAGTGGTACCATAGGAGTTGAGGTAACATTGTGATAGATAGTGGTACCATAGGCGCCCCCCCTCCCCCCCCCCCCCAAAAAAAAAAAAGAGAAAAGAAAAAGGAAAGACAGAATATTTTGGAAAGACCAATTTTAACTTTTCTATATAACATTATAATAATAATAATAAATAAGTATCACATCATCTTCCTATATAATTAACTCTCAATTCAATTACAATGACAGGATTTTGAACAATGCCAGGATATGTGAGCAATATTTCCAATAATTTCATATTTTAGGAAGGGACAAAATTTAATAATAATAATAAAAAACTGCACCAATTATTATTATTATTATTATTTTTTCGAAAGTTAAAACAGTGCCAAATTTGTAAGAGAGACTAATTTAAAAGTAATTATATAGTCCAATGAAATTACTTTCCAAAAAAGAAAAAAAGAAAAAGAAAAAAGAGATGAAATTGCTTTCTTTGCATAGGAAAAGAAAAAGAAAAAGTGAGGCTGTGAGAGATATGGGGAGAAAAAGGGTTTTGTTTGAACTGGTATCCACCGTTCACCCATTATTTACTCATTAATTTAAATTAATTATCTAAATAATTTAATTTTAATGAATAAATTTAGACGATTTAATAGATTTAGATATAAATTGCCACCCCAAAATTTAGCAAATTGAGCCCCTATTACCGTCCAATCCCAGTATTGCTTCCATGGCAACTGGCATCTATCTGATTTCAGTCCTTCCTCTGACCCAATTCTCAGCATGGTGACCAGATTCAGAATTTGGAATGAATTGAAACACAAAGTGGGTCGGGTTTTGGGCACAAGTCATTTTCTGATTGTTACGTCCCATCACAATTGACAACCATCTAAACGTGTAAAGTGGCCTCAAAAGAAAGGCATTTATTGTCTCCGGCGATGAACATTGAACAATTCTCGTCCACATAAAATCCTAGACGTGAAAATAATTGCATAAATTATTGTGCATTACTGCAACGATCAAACCAAATATAAATAGGCAGCTAAAACTCATGGCAGAGACAAATGGACTACTTCACATTTTCGCTTGTATTGTCCTTTGTCTTGACATGCATTCATGTCCTTCTTGTCACCAAATCAATTCGGCGGAGGTCTGGCACTGCCAGACTCCCACCGGGACCTTATGCTTTTCCGGTGATCGGAAACATCTTAGCACTTGGCAAAAAACCCCATGAGTCAATAGCCACCCTTTCCAAAAGATATGGTCCTATTATGTGTCTCAAGCTAGGGAGCATAACAACAGTAGTTGCATCATCCCCCAAAATTACCAAAGAAGTGCTGCAAAAACATGACCTGACCTTCTCTAGCCGGGCAATCCCGGACGCCGCCAACACGCTCGACCACTCAACGGTCTCCATATTGTGGTCACCGGCATCAACCCGGTGGCGAAAACTCCGAAAGATATGCAAAGAGTACCTGTTTTCAACCCAAATCCTAGACGCTAGACAATTCCTTCGCAGGAAAAAGGTACAAGAACTACTCAACTACGTGCATGAAAGCTGCATTAGGGGTCAGGCTGTGGATATTGGCCGAGCTGCCTTTACCACATCCCTTAATCTGCTATCAAACACTTTCTTCTCTACTGATTTGGCTCAATATCAATCTAACTCGTCTCAAGAATTCAAGGACATTGTCTGGGCTGTGATGGAATTAGCTGGAAAGCCTAATATTGCAGACTATTTCCCTCTACTTAAATTGATCGACCCACAAAGTGTTCGGCGACAGATGAAATTTTATTTTGAGAAGTTGCTAGAGGTGTTTGAAGGAATTATCAACCAGAGGTTACAATCAAGAGCTTCTTCTGTGTTGGGCAATGATGTATTGGATACCCTCCTCAATCTCACCAAAGATAACGATACTGAGTTGAGCTGCAATGACATAAAGCATTTGCTTCTGGTGAGGAATTTTTTAACCTTCATAGTGCTTCCACTAATCAACTTTTTGAATAACTTTTCCAAATCCCATGAATATATATATGGGAACATATCAATCATAATGATTTCAGGGCCATTTTGTCAAGAAATGAGTTCTTTTTCAGCATTGGCTGCTTCGAATTGTTTCACTGAACCAATTTTTTTATTTTTTTTTCATAAATAAACCAATTATTGCTTCCGTGATGTACCTTATGACTGCATTATAGAAGGAATAATAGGTTCTGCCGAGTGTAACCATTTTGGTTCTTCATTTATAGGATTAGGTGAGTCATGTAATGAGGACTATTATTATTGTTGTTCCTCATCACTAAAATGAGTTGTGACCTACAATGGAATACGTCTCATCAAATGGGATAGAGTCACAGTCAAGACTATGATCTATTGGATGAAGTGAATCTCATAGCGGACCAGTCTCTGGAAGTCACAATTAATTCTAACATTCTCTTCATCTCAAGTATTAGCACATGCTTATTAATTCTAACACTTCTATTTGTCAGGACTTATGTATTGCAGGGACCGATACAACATCAGCCGTATTAGAATGGGCAATGGCAGAGCTAATGAAAAGGCCTGAAGCAATGGCAAAAGCTAGAAATGAGCTCGAAGAAGTCATTGGCGGGGACGGACTAGTTCAAGAATCAGACATCCCACGGCTCCCTTACTTGCAAGCAGTAGTAAAAGAGACCTTCCGGTTGCACCCAGCTGCCCCGTTTCTAGTTCCCCACAAGGCCGAAGCTGATGTAGAAATATGTGGCTTCACTGTGCCCAAAAATGCACAAATCCTTGTTAATGTTTGGGCTATGGGGCGCGATCCAAGCATATGGTCAAACCCAAGTTCATTTTTGCCGGAAAGGTTCTTAGAGCCCAAAACGGAGTTGAGAGGCCAAGAGTTTGAGTTCATTCCCTTTGGTGCAGGGCGAAGGGTGTGCCCCGGAATGCCATTGGCCTCTAGGATGGTGCACCTCATGTTGGCCTCTCTTTTGCACTCTTTCCATTGGAAGCTTGAAGAAGGGATGAAACCAGAGGACATTGACATGAATGACAAGTTCGGGCTTGCATTGCAGAAAGCCATGCCTCTCAAGGCTATTGCAATTAAGCTGTGATTGTCATTTCTCATTTCGATCTGTACCCTTGGAATTTTTCAAGACACTATAGATCCGTGTTATGTTATGGTGGAGTAAGGCGAGTGTTCGTTGCACTTCAGCTGTTAACTAAATGGCCTTTTATGTTTTTTATTTGTTCTCCAAAAATAATCTAAATAAATATATCTTTATCTTGGACTTTTCATCAATGCTGAATGTTTCAGAAGATGTAGGAATTTGTGTTACTTCCATATGATAATAATTGTATTAAGGGTGTGAGTTACATAAAAATGAAATTTTCTTCCAAAATAAAGCAACTAACTATAATTCACACTTTTTCTACTTTAAATAGTCAATGCTATATGCCTACTCAATTATGAATGTATGAAACACCCTACACATTTGCAAAAGAGAGTTTCTATTTTAAGCCACTAAAATGCAACTCCCACGTAAATAATTTTACCACAATAATAGAGGGATATATACAACTGCAAATGGCAATCAAATTTTACAGTTTAATAAGTCAAAACTTTATATATTTCAAAATATATACAGGAGCTTTCACAATCTTATAGATCAATATAGCACCACAAATATAGAAAACATCCAAATCCAAATTGAGCCAAAACCCCCACATTTCAATGTTTCAAAATGATAATATCATACCATGAGTCAAAAAATTTATAGACATTTTTCTTCATCTACTTTTGGCGGTGGAATCTCAAAGAAATCGAAAAGTTTTCACCCCTTTATTACAAGAATTCTCGTTATGTATGCACGCCCGCACATTTTAGGAATTCATAAGAGCACGCTTTTGCAGTTCCATTTCTTGTTTTTTTCCTAGTTTAGCGAAGAAAGGAGAATGGGGTTTAAGTAATCTTATGTTCAGTGTACAAGTTTTCTTATATATATATATATATAGGAGAAGAAATGCTTATAACAACAAATGCAAATTAACTAAAACTTAGAAGTTAATTCCCAAAAATATCACCTTAATTTAATATGTAAATTTCAAATTAACAACACGCATATACATAAAAAATCAAGTTACAAGCTACAGTATAAAATTCGCAAGAAAGGGAGAAGAAGGGGAATTTGAGAAAGAAGCAAAAAGCCCTAATTAGGATTCACCAAATGAAGAAATGAGTAGAGTGGGGTTCTATCTGGGAAGCACCGACACGGCATTTAGGGCCTGCGTACCGGTATCGGACACGTGTCCGACACGGACACGCGTGTCTAGAGCTCGGACACTTGTCCGACACCTGAAAAACGTATCCTATTTTTTTAATAAATAAATAAATACGGGATACCGGAAAGACACGGCAGTGATACGCCGGAGGACACGGGAAAGACACGCCGGACGACACGGGAACTCAAACAATCCCAACCCTACTCTTCTCCTTCCCCTCCCACCTTTTCTCCATCAATCGGTTAACGCCTTCGGCTCTGTCGCTCTATCCTGTGGCGCCGACGACACCATAAAGACTTGAGATTTCTCAACCTCCAACAACCTTACAGCACTCATCCGCCGTCATCGCCCCTCTCCGCCACCAAAGATGGCGTTGTCTTGACTGGGTAGTGATTCGTGCTTTGCTCTGTTGATTTCCTTCTCTCGCAACTTGATCTCTGCCTCCAAAGACGGCGTTGTCTAGAGTGGGTAGTGATTCGTGCTTTGTTGATTTGGTTTGGTGAGAGGAAAAGAGGACTTAGAGATAAGATGATATGAAGGTCAGAGGAGAGAGAGACACGTAGATGAGGAGGAGAGAGCAGATAAATCTCATCTTTTTCTCACCACTTGTTTGGTTAGAAGGTTTAACTAGTTCTATTTAGATTTAAAGTTATAACCTCTATTTGTTTGAAATTTAATAAATTTGAGACTATAAATTCTTATATTTTTTATAAAAAAAAAAAAAAAAATTTATAGTGAGCTTAAATTATATGAATTATGAATTAAAAAATTTAAAAAAAAATTAATTTTTTATATATAATAAAATTATATTATTATTTTATTACCGTATTCCAGTCGTGTCCGTGTTCTGTTTTTTTTAACGTATCATCGTGTTCGTATCGTATCGTACTCGTGTCATGTGTCGGTGTGCGTGCTTCATAGGATTCTACATACCGTATTGGGCACAGACAAACTTGTGAAGTAGACATTCATGCCATTGTTATGAGCTTGACTTTGAGATTCACAGGAAATTACAAAATACTAGCCTTCAGGTTTGTGGCTTTTACAGAGAAATAGTGCATTCAAAAGATTTGACACGCGCTCTCTCTAGAGCTAAGTTCCAGCTTTCTCTCTCTTATGTATTTGTTCATTGTAAATTACGGGTAAATTCTACTTTTTTTTAATCAAAAGATTAATAAGTTTTTAAAAATCAAGTTTTAGAGCATAAAACTTTCTTGGACTATCCAATTTTGAACAATACCCCTAGTAACAAAATTGACCAACTCCCATAGACTATCCAATTGTTACAACAGTCTCCTGTAACGTTAATGGATTTATGCATTTTTTTTCTTAAGAATGTATAGAATTGGAATTTACAATGGACTTTAATAAGGAAACTATGTAATTTTTTATAATTATTTTTCAACAATAAAATTAAAATTAATACAAATAACTCATTCTTAAAAATTATTTTTTTAAAACTTTAATAAGGAAACTATGTAATTTTTATAATTATTTTTCAACAATAAGATTAAAATTAATACAAATAACTTATTCTTAAAAATAGTTTTTTTTTATTCTTAAAAATTATATTTTTTAAAACTTTAATAAGGAACTATGTAATTTTTGATGATTATTTTTCAACAATAAGATTAAAATTAATACAAATAACTTATTCTTATAAATAGTTTTTTATTTTTTTAAAAAAAAAAATTTAAATGAATTATATTTGTATAAAAAAATTTCATTAGATGCGTATATAAAAAAAATAAAAATACTTTAGAATAATTTTCAAATTTTGTTTAAATTTCTATTTTTAAAATATTAAAAAAGAAAGAAAAACTATAATCAAAATCATTTTTAAAAAATTATATTAAAGGGCATTTTTATTATTATAACATCATATCAATGGTGCGTAATTTTCACATATTTCTTAAATTTATATTTCTCAAAAATTAAAAACAAAAAAAAATTAAACTAAAATGAATATCATTTTAAAGAAAACTTTTTCTTAAATTTCTATAAAGTAGCGTTTTTGTCATTATAACATCTCTTTAATGGTGTGCAAATATTTTATTTTAAATTTAAAAGGAAAAGAAAATCTAAAATGAATTTCATTTTAAAGAAAACTTCAAAAAAAAAAAAAAATTTAAACTCTTTAACCTAGTGTAAGGGGAATATTGCAACAATTGGATAGTTGTTAAAGGTGTTCCACGTCGAATTCAGATAAAAAGTAAAATAAGTATAAATTGATAAATATTTAGCACCATTCAACTGTTTAAGTTTTTGAATTAGAGGACAAGAGTCCGACGTGTTATAATAATACAAGAGAGTTTTATGCAACAATCAAATAGTTTAAGAGAATTTTATGTCATTTATTATTAAAAAAATATAAATATAACTGAAAAGATAAACATACGATTCTCTCCCTCTTCTTCGAGATGAATCTTATAATCTATCAAATGTGTAGATTCCACCATCAAGTGTTGAGTGGACCATTATAGATGGGTTTTGCCAGGTGGTCTAAACTCTCTGCATTTGAAAGAGTACCGATGTTTGTTTTCTTAACTACTTATGTTAGTACCCCTAACTAATCATACGGTAATAGTTGATACCTTTTCTTTGATAATAGTTGGTACATTTCTCTGGATGATGATAGTAGTAAATAAAATATAATTGGCAGTATTACTCTTTTCGTTCCAAATTAAACATTATTTTTTGTGAGTTTAATTTTTAAGAGAATGAATTTTAGTATTTTTTATTTTAAATTTTTTTTTTTTATTATAGTGATAATGAAAGAATTATCAAAATATTCATAGTGAGTCCACAACTCCACATGAATGTAATTGTTTACTTTTACAAGTTTAAAGCAAGAAGGTTAAATTGATCATATTACAAAAAATAGTATTTTAAATTTTCAAATGAAACATTTATTTTGAGACAATGTGTAAATCTAAAAAAATCCATTCTTCATTAAAAAAACAAAATATGGTAGCTTTTATAAGTCATTTCTCTTTTCATCCAAATATATGAGAAAAAAGAGAGAAATTCCTAGTAATTAAACTAACATAACTTCTTAAATATTGGACCGTCTGAAAAAGGTCATTGAACATGGCCAAAAAAGGTCATTGAATATTGGCCAAAAAAACCATATCGAAAATAGGTATCCTTGAGCCAAAAAAATCCAACTGCCACAAAGAGTCCATATGGTCCACAACGTGATTGAATATGGCCAAAAAAACCATAGACTTGACCTGTAATACTACAAACTAGGTGGCATGAAAAGAACGAGACGCGGCTTAAGCCACCCAACAATTCTGGTCACATAAATGGTAAGTAACATCAAAATAATTGGAAACGCCATATATGTAGTAGTTTCTGTATAATGCACTAAGTCACACAATCTTCTTAATGGATATTGTTTTTATACTCTGAGTGCACTCTCGCTCAAATTCTCACTATTTGTAACTTAATTTTATCGTTTTTACGCTTTCGCTTTCAAATTTGCTCTCGCTCTAATTCTCGCTCCCGCTTTATGCATGTGACTTAAGACATGCATTCATGTCCTCCTTGTCTCCAACCCAATTCCCTGGAGGTCCGGCACGGCCAGACTCCCACCGGACCTTATGCTTTTCCAGTGATTGGAAGCATCTTAGCACTTGGCAATAAACCCCATGAATCACTAACCATGGATGGTGCACTTCATGTTGGCCTCTCTTTTGCAGTCGTTCGACTGGAAGTTTGGGCTTACATTGCAGAAGGCTATGCCTCTCAGTGATATTGCAATTAAACTGTGACTTAATATCATTTCTCGTTTCTGTACTGGAATTTCTCGAGACTATATAGATTATGTTATGGTGGAGTAAGGAAAATGCTTTGTTGCACTTCAGCTGTTAAATGGTCTTTTATATCTTTGATTTGTTCTACTAAAATAACCGATATAAATTTATCTTTTATCTTCAACTTTTCTTAAGTCCCGGACGTTTGACAGGATGTAGAAATTTTTAACATGGTTCTCTTGCACACTGTATTATATATTTT